GGGGGGGGGGGGGGGGGGGGGCTGGGCTTCGAAGGTTGCACAAATTTCACACACAAAACAAAAAAATGTGCACACGAAGGAGGTACACATGCATTTGCATGTTTTGCGCTCTCGTGTGCATGTGCAACAAAGCGATGGACACAACACCTGAGATCACCAAAAAAAAGCCGCGGACGTTGCAACTCCTCCAACTCACCGGCGTTGGGGTCATTCCTGATCTTGGCCGCCTTCGCTAGGGGCGGGGTCGAATCGACCTGCAAGGGATGGTCGACAGGCAGCGTTAGATTTTGATACCATCGCATGTTGTCGCGGTTGGGTTTTCGGCTGCGGAGACATTTAACATCGAGTTTATCACCCTTGAAACAAACAGAACTGATCAAGACTCACAGGCTCGGGTGGTTCAGCAGCGGTTGCTGCTGCTGCTGCTGCTGGCGCGGTAGGCATCGAAGACGAGTGGTGCTCCACGATCAGCCAGGGCCGGGGGGCTCCGCGGGTCCTGTCCCTCCGGAACTTGAAGCTGAAGCGCGCCCGTTTTTCCACGGGGCCCCCGTCCTCCCCCCGCCAGGCGAAGGTGTAGGTGCCGGCCAGGACGGCGAAGTCCCCGTACACGCGGGCCGCCACGGGCGTGTACTCTACCATCCTCAGCTGAGGCAGCCGAACGAAGCGCTCCTGATTTTTTCCGAAGTAAAACGCAACAGCGGCGGCAGCAAGCAGTAGTTCGGCAATGGTTGTCAAAAATGGTGAAAACGATGAAAATAATCGAAATTTCGCGAGGTGGTGGATGGCGTACGCAAGGTACAAACCGGAAGTAGAAGCGCTGGGCAGGTGGCATTTGCGGCAACGGCCTTGGCTTAGTCGTCCGCTGGAAGGTGTGCTGTGAACACAAGTAATCGTGTCGCTCGGTCACGCTCAGCAAATGATCCGCCGATCTATCAAAGAGTGGTCGACACTTACAATCTGGAGGAGGTGCGAGACGGGTTGGACAAACAGCGCTGTCGCCACCAGCAAAACCGAAACAAAAAGCAAAAGGCGAACCGCTCCGTGCTTCCGACCAAATTTTTGTGCAATCGGCATGTAACGAGATTTCACGATTAGCCTCCGCACCCGGTGACACTTACCGACCTGGACCTACTTTGGCAGGCACACACGTCCGTACCCTAGACTTGTCACTTCTGCGCCTTATCACTCGTTGCCACCATTAGCCCCCCCGACGCCAGTCACTCACGAAGTGTGCGGTGATCTGCTGCGGGGTACTGCAGACCTCCTCCGAGACCGTTTCCCACAGAGACCCGTCCTCGGCGTAGAGAGCCGCCGTCCTCCTGGGAGCATCTCGGGCACCGCTCGTTACGGTGTTCTTCCACGCGATAGCGGCGGCCGATACCGCCTTTTTGTCTGCTCCAAAACCAAGCCGTGGACAAAGGCGGGCGCGAGATGACCACAATTAGCGATCAACACCGCAACCTTCGGTTGATTCAGTTCGGTCGCGCAGATAGTCAGCAGCATCAGCAGCATTTTCGTGGCGAGATCACGTCGTGCGCATGCCATCAAAAGATGCAAAACAAATAAAATGAGATGGGGCGCACTACATGTATTGCTGTAGTTTGGGTGCCCACGGCCGCGACACGAAAAAAAAAAAAGAGCCAACTACGGAAAGGTTATCGATTCGGTCTCATCGGCGAAAACTATTTTCAGTACGAGACGTTGGACCAATGGGGGTGACGTGAACTCGAAAGACCCTCACGTGCTACGACGGAGCCATGAGTCGATCCTTCGGGACGACTGCTCCTGGCAGACTTGTCAAGACTTGAGATGGTGGACCCGATCACGACCTCGACCCGACGTCCACACGTGAAGCCAAGTAATAGGTCACAACTGGCACCCCTCTGCTGCATGTACAGCTCACCTCTTTCCTCGGCTGAGATTCTTGGCGGCGTATGCGTCCGCAAGGCTGGCGGCGGTACAACACTCCGGGAGAATACTGGAAATAGCAACAAAAAAAATAGAAAAAACAGCAAGAGTTAATATAAAACCGCCGGATTATGCATTTGCGTGTGGTGGCGAAAACAAGGGGGTCGGGAGTCCGAAACACATCAGGTTCGGTCGAGTTGCGGCAAGGCGGTGATAATGTCTCCACGCTTGCGGAGCATGTTATATCTTTCTCGCTTCCGTCTGTGTGGATCTATTGCCATTTGGGACGCGCTTCTAGTTTGCGAGTCGACTGCATTCCACGTGAACATGCGACACGCTAGCCATCCATTTTTGGTAATGGTGTGCGTATCTTATTGGGAATAATAAATACCCACACATGAAGACCACCCGTTCGAGAAATACGTTCTCACATTCGAACATATGTTATACTTGTAGTGTAATAGTAGATGCACTCATAAAGCAGTACGTGGCCATGGACCGAAGGCACCTCGAGATGCTTTTCAGGCGAAAATGTTCACAGGCCGGGATGTTTGTGCAACTCCATGCAGAACGGGTGACAGACCGGAGAACGGAATGCGTTTGGAAAACCGATATTTTTGGGTGTGGGCTGGACCGTCTAATTGGACGGGTATGCCGACACAATGAGAGCGAGAGGATATGTATAAAAAAACAATAAAGATCCGCGCGCATGTATTGCGGACATCGATTCGTGCAACCACCGTAGGACCGTAGAAAGCACCTATTGGACCCCGTACCGCCTGGGTCGATTACCAAAGCTCGACTAACTCTGCCGGGGGAAATAGTGACCACGAGCCCAAAATGGTCGAGTTGGAAACCGTCTCCTTCGAGGGCCTTACAAAACGAGAAGAAAAAAAAAAACGCATCACAACGTAGATTTGGGTTCCCGCTTCGACCTGGAGTAGCGATATAGCTGTAAACACCGTCCCAAGGGTTGTTGTTCTTGTGCAACCTGACATTTACTTACGGCGGAAATCTTTTCACACCTTTGGTTGTATGCACACGTTTTTGCATGTTTGGGCGAAACAGCTGGGGAGAGCCACACAACAGAGAGGAGACTCGTGATTGTTTTCTTGCTACTTTGCTGTTGAAGCTTCCGCCCAACCGGAACTTACGGCAAACTATTTTCGAAGTACTATTTAGATGTTTTGGACAGCAACAATTCAACACGCACGACCATGCCGTCCGCCGTCCGTAGTAGAGGCGCACTGACCGTTACTATAGGTACTTGCAACCACCACTTGAGACAAAAGTATCTGCAATTCTTCGTCTTTTGCACCCTACTCGAAATATGCATACGTGCAACAAGCTGCGATCAGCAGCGGCAGCCAGCTGCGGTGGATGCACGCAACAAGCAACAGGAGGCTCAATGTTCCAAGCAAAAAAAAAAATCTTGCTCGTTGGAGCGCAAGCATGAAAAAGCGTCTCAGCAGCAACTGGATATGGTAGACGGTGGACCCACCTGGAGATGGGCTGCTCGCGCTCAGAGGGAGCGTCGCTCTCCGTGGGGACGCGGTCTTGGAGGTGGTGGGCGGGAGGGGCGGGAGGGCCGTCGCGGCCGCCGCTCCTGCCGCCGCCGCCTTCTTCTCCTTCCGGAGCTTGTGGCTCTGGGTCTGCAGGCGGCGTCGCTCCTCATGCCGCTGCTGCATCAGAATCATGTTCTTCTCCGGCATCATCACCTCCTCCCTCTTGTCTTCGTCTGCTGCCGCTGGTGTTGCTTGCCTAGTACGACGACTCCTCGATGTGCTGTTCTTGCCGTTGGTATACGCCGCAGCAGCAGGGCCCTTGCTTGTTGCCGACTGGAGCACGGCGCCGGCGGTGCGAACACGGGTTGCTCGAGGCGGCGGCTCTGTTGCTCCTTTGTGCAACAGCGCCCGGACCAGCTGCTCGAAGCCTTGTTCCGCTGCGAGGGCCAGGGGCGTCGCGCTGTCGCCTCCCGCGTTCTCGGTGTCCGCCTCGTTGGGATCCGCCCCGGCCAGGAGCAGGTCATACGCGATCCGCTCCTGCCCCCTCCTGACCGCCATGGTAAGGGCGAGGGCCAGGTCGGCCCCCGCCGCGATAAGCGTCCTCGCAACGGACTCGTGCCCGCCACGCACGGCCACCTGCAACGGCGTACCCCTGTACCGCCAATGAGCGTGCGAGGCGGACTTGATGTTGATGTCCGCACGGGCAGGAGTCCGAAGCAACGCCGAAACGACGCATTCGTTGCCGCTCGCCGCCGCCGCGTGGAGTAGGGTGCGGCCGTCCTTCCCTATCCCGCCCGCGGCGATGCCGGCCCCGGCCTCCAGCAGCTTGTCCACCAGGTCCGCGTTGCCGGCGTCGCAAGCAAGGAGCAGAGGGCCCTGTAGCCAATCCGCAAACTGATCGGGTTCAGCCTTGCTGCGCATCATCTCGAACGCCAGCGATTGCTTTCCTTTTCTCTGCAAGACTTCCCGATTCTCTTGGTAATGGGCAACGGCAGCCCCCTCTCTCGCGGGTCGGATGCGCGCAAACGGGGGGTGGAGAGAGAAAGAAGAAAGCGATAATACGAAGGAAAATCAGCTGTCTGTGTGGCTGGTGTCTCCAACGGCCAACGGCCCCCCATTATTTTCAAATCGGAGTTGTAAGAGGATATGCATCTTTTCACGTACGTTTCGAGATCTGCGGTGCCCCCCGTAAAATGTCCGGCAACACTGCTGTCCACTTCTGTTGTTTGCTGGGTCTCGCTGCGTATTGAAGGGTGTGGACGGAGAACAAAGATGTCGAGGAGCATGCCGAGACACAAGAACGATGCCCTGATGGTCGCTGCTCCGCGAGCAAGCATGGCCGAAGTGGTAAGGTGGTGTGGTGACACATATAACAGCAGGGACACGAAGCCAATTTCGCTCCGCAGTTTTTCGACGGGGCATCCCTCTGTGTAGCCGATGCTTCTTCTCCAGGGATTTGCGACATGCGTTCTTCTCTTGGATGTCAAAGGGTATTTGGTCCTGCTACGGCGGCGGTCGTCGTTGCGAATGATGCAGGATACACCTAAGAAAAGCAGCAGCGTCGTTCGTTGACATTGATCTACGCAAGATACCACCCCCGTGGTCCACTCGGCAAGCAAGCCCTTACTGCTGCTGTAGACCCCAATCCCCTTGTAGCTGTTTCAGTTTTTATAACGTGGCTGTCGAGAGAAATGCACCGGTATGTGCTGACATACGCGGTGCTGCAAGCGTAAGCGGGTGTTCACTATTCTGACCGCTGTAGTGCTGCTTGTACCAAGGGCACAGCAGTTATCATGACGTCTACCCATGGGAGCATCCTTCCTCGGCTAGGATATGTTGACATTGTTTCTCTCCTTCGTCGGCCAGCACCCTGGTATGGTGGCTCATTTCTCATGGGTCTTATTTTTTACCCAATTTACTGGCCAAAACCCTTGCGGTGCTCCACGGCAGCAGCAATTTGGGCGTGGTGATAGCGAGCACGTCGGGCGGTAGATTCCATCATTTCTCCTACACCGAATACTGCCGCACCTTTTGGCAGCCTGTACGTATTCTGTCTGCTCTTGTAAGCGTATACGAGTTGCTCGTGATCGGAGCACTACTGTACGGTACATGTTTTGTTTTATGCCGCCACTACTGATGTGGTCGCTGCCGCCAACGCTCTGCCCGCATGGCACACGGAGGATGCAGCAGTACCCCGCCCTTGTTTCGATAGCAGGCAGTAGTGGTTGATCTGATTCGAAAGCATGTTGCTGCTGCTGTTGCTGTTCCTGTTGCAGCTGTGGGAACAAAAGTGTTTCTATGTCATCTTGGTTACATGTTCTCCATTTGGGTGCGGCGTCCTTGATAGCACACCTCTCCGTTGGCTTAATCAACAGTCATGTGGTTGCAAACCTTGAACGGGTCGCGGAAACAAAAATGATAAATATATAACAGGAGCGGGCGGGGCCGGCTCAGCTAGCGGACTCGAAACGCTTCTGGAAGATCGAGAAGCAGGAGGGTGACCTGACCGGGCAGCTGGGGGACCTGGAGCAGGGGACGAGGCAACGGAACCGAGAGTTCGAGGCTAAGCTAAGGGCGATCGCGGAGAGAATCCGGGGGTAAGTGATCGGAAACGCCTTTCGGAGAGGGAAAACGGCTCTGGGTTGCATTTGGCGAGAAATAGTTAGGGATTTACAAGATAGGAGCCAAGCAGACAGAACGACGAATCCTGCCGTGCTACAAAGCAAGCGGTCTTTGTGCCGCCGCATCTGTCTCGATGCCGCTGTCGCTCAGCCTTGCCGTTCGTACCTCGGCAACCTCCCTCTCCGTAATCACCGTGCCACAGGCTTGAGGTCGGGATCGAGCGAGAGGTCCAGGAGCGTGAGGAAACCCACGCGGTCATGTTCACGGGATTGCAGGAGAAGCTAAAGGCGGCGGCCGCGGCAGTAGAGGCCGACGCAGAAACTTCCATTACCGATCGATTCGAACCGGGGCTTTCCGAAAACGTAAGTGTTTTCCTGTTCTAGGAGGACAGATTGCTAGATACAGCAGTATTGACAAGGCGGTCGGTGTTTTTTGTGAAACCGTGTGCCGCTTACGCCCGCATTGTTTCAGCCATCTGTTGTTTCTGCCCGCTGGTCGGCGAAAGCACGATGCGATTCATCCCGGAATTCGCTTGGATCTTCGGTCGGAGTAGATTATGGCCAGCCTTTTTTTTTTTCCCCATCATTGGACTCTGTCGTCTGCCCCTCTGGCCCCTATCCTCCACTTCTACTAGCTAGACGACCCAACCGGGGTCACATAGGAGGGGGGGGTTGGACCCCCTCCTGCGGTTCCTGTCTGAGAAATTTTGATCGCGAAAAGGGTACAGCAATCCCTTCCCTCGCGACGTATGAAGTCGATCAAGTTAACTATATGACCCCCCGACTGTTTTGGCCCATTTTCCGAATGTTTTTTTTTCATCCTACATGGTGATTATCACAAGTTTTTTTCTTTTTTCTTTTTTCCCGTCATTGGACTCTGTCGTCTGCCCCTCTGGCCCCTATCCTCCACTTCTACTAGCTAGACGACCCAACCGGGGTCACATAGGAGGGGGGGGTTGGACCCCCTCCTGCGGTTCATGCCTGAGGTATTTTTATCGCGAGAAGGGTACAGCAATCCCTTCCCTCGCGACTTACGAAGTCGATTATGGTTTACTAACAACGAGCTTTGCAGCGCGTCGCTTTCATCCTAGACCAGGATTTATTTAGTGAGAAAAAAACTCACTCTGCCGGGACTCGAACCCATGACCTGGCCCGTGGCAGGCTGCGAGGTTACCCACTATACCACCGGGGCTACCGGTGTTTTTTTTGTTCTTTCTTCTCCCATCATTGGACTCTGTCGTCTGGCCCTCTGGCCCCTATCCTCCACTTCTACCAGCTAGACGACCCAACCGGGGCCACATAGGAGGGGGGGCTGGACCCCCTCCTGCGGTTCCTGCCTGTGGTATTTTTATCGCGAGAAGGGTACAGCAATCCATTCCCTCGCGACTTACGAAGTCGATTATGGTTTACTAACAACGAGCTTTGCAGCGCGTCGCTTTCATCCTAGACCAGGATTTATTTAGTGAGAAAAAAACTCACTCTGCCGGGACTCGAACCCATGACCTGGCCCTTAGCAGGCTGCGAGGTTACCCACTAGACCACCGGGGCGACCGGTGTATTTAATTTTCCCGACTGTTCTGCACCACATTTTCGGAATACTTTTTTCACTCTACATGAATATGTATCCCCCCCGACTGCTGTTGTGCACATTTTGGAAATACTTATTCTTTTGTTTCACCCCTAAAGATGGAGAGAATAGAAGCCGATGACGCGCGGGTGGAAGAGTTCGTGCACGTGACAGTCCCGCGGATCGTCGACGAGCAGAGCGGTGCCGTTACCCGAAAGCTGCAGAAGGCACGGGAAACGTTCGACATCGAGAACGCTAAGATTGCCAAGCGAGAGCGGAAGGTCGGTCTTGTGTTGGGATGGTTTGTGCTGTGGTTGCTCTTTGATAGTAATCTCGTCGGTTCTTGTGGCTCTCACCTATGTTGTGTTTTTTTGTGGGGTTCTCTGCCTGTGCTGGATGGATTATGGTGGTTTGTTTTCTCTCCCCTCGTGGGTTTTTGCAACCCTCACCTAATTGGTTGTTTGATTGGGTTTTGCGGGGAGAGCTTGGGGTAGGCGGCTAAGGCTGATCGCGTCGGCGATTTCGCCTTTCTGAGGCCGCATCGCTCTGCAAGAAGACGTGGCGGTCAAGAGCGGGTGCCGCTACAGGGAAGGTGCTCATAGGCGAACAGGTGAACGGCCATGTGTTTGGCCCACGAGAGCTCAGCCGCCGAGGCCTTTTCGTTTTCGCCGCCGATGGCCTCCGTCCACAGGCGCACGTCCATCGTGTGGAAAAATGCTGTTAGCCAGGGATGAAGCTTGTCGGTTGGGTTTTCGTGGCGGTGTTGTTTTTAGCTGTTGCTGCGACAGCAGTGCTCCTGGGACTTACCAGGGACCAGAGCACCCCGACTGTCTGGCCTTCGCTTCTTTCAGCGTTCAAGGCGTTCGTAGTCGGGCAACGTTTTCGATCCGTTGTCGAAGAGGGGGAGGGGGTTGGTTGCGCAGCAAGTTTCACTCACAACGATGACTGTTGTCCCGGGCGTTGATTTTCTGACACGTTCATCTCTTCCACTGCTCCGCCCTTTTCCTCGTCCCTTTCCTCCTCGCCATCCCTCCTCCCCGTCACAACCTCTCGTTCGCCCGTTGCGAACGGCTCTTTTGCGCCCTTGCGCTCTTGCTTGCGGACTTGCTTGTTTGCGACGCGCGCGTTCGTGGGTGTCGAAAACCAATGCGACAGCTGGTCTCGCGGTTTGAGACCCACGTCAAGGGAACCGCGCAGAGCTTTGAGGACGAAGAGGCTACACGAGTGGGTAAGACCGTGGTAGGGGGGGAAATGCTGGAAGAGTGTCTTTGATGGTTTGCGAGATCGAGCAACCGACTGTCACAATTTCCGCGGGTTGGATGGGATGGACCGGTTTTCACAGCTCGACTACTCCTAAGAGGATGACGCAATGCAAATTATTCGTTTTCAGGAAGTTTTCGTGAAGCTCTCGACGAGATGGTTCCAATGCTACAGCACCGTGCCTTTTGCCGCAGAGTACTAGAGCTTTGAGAATCGGCCCACGGAGTGTGGTATCTTGGCACCACCGTACTAATTACTGCCGTCTGTTTTCCGGTGGTAGGTCATCGCCAATAGCGCTTTTCTTTCCTCTAGGTTTTCTCTCGAGGCATTCCGTGTCTTTCTGATACGCTCCCGTTCCGTCTCCCGATCCTGTGCGCCGTGTTGCCGACCGGCATCCAATGCGCACGTTGGGATCTCTCGCATGCGGTCACCGTCTGCGCTTGTTGCGCAACCCTCTTTTGAGTCTGGCAAACTTTGTTCTATAGCCGCGCCTCCAAATTGAAAATTACAAAATACCCAAAACGAAATAACGAAACCACAACAACACACCCAACCCTGTATGCGTTTGGCGTCCTGTTTTGTTGCCACCCCTGCTGGTGCTGATGCTGCAATTGTCGCCCATTTTGCAGGCAAGCTTTGGCTCCTGGGCGAGGATCTGCAGGCGGTCGAGCACATGGATGATCGAGGCGATGAATCCCTTCAACTCTCGATTGTAAAGACAATAAAAGGTACAATGTGCATTCCTGGTATACTGTGCACAGCTCCTCGTTCGTGTCACCCCGACTGGTGCAATGTATCGCCTGCCGGACTGTGCAAACTTGCACTCGGAACAGATGGGCACGAAACACACAGCGTGTCTGTTGCCAGGCGCGCATACCTCAATCTATCGCTTCGGAGGCATTTGACTTTTGCGTCTGGCGCAGAAGGAAGGCCTTGTTGATTTTGGTGTTGGTGATGACGCTGACGTTGGTATCGTCGTTTGCTGTGCTGTCTTTCCTGATGCGTTATATGTGGTCGCTGCCGCCGTTCGGATGTCGTTCCGAAGTCTTCGCGCACCAGTCGTGTGCATGTCCTTCCAGGAATCTACGTGCATTCTTCGTGTTGTGTGCTGTGCCAATCAAGAAGGAGAGGATGCCATTCGTCATGGCGGTAGGATCGATCCCAACAACTTTTTACCACACCCAAACTGCTGTGGGCCTGGTTTCCAGCGCTGCGGTGAGGTTTCAAGCCGTTTGACAGAGGGTCGCGGATCTTGAAGCAGCACTCCCCGAGTTTTCTGAATGAGGCCCACAAACCGTTCTCAGAGGCAAACACCTAGCTGTAGCAACCCCCCTTCGCTTGAAGCGGCAGGACCGCTGACGGACGAACAAGAATTGTACAGCCTGGTGTGGGTCAACCCCATTCGCACATGCGAATAAATGGACAATTCCTCGTTGTGGGGTAACCACTCCCATCCCGCCCGCGAACCCTCAATTGGCGTTTCCACCACCACCTTGGCCCTCTCCGCCCACCCCGCAGCGACCCGAGGAGACGTGGCGACGTTGAGTAAGGAGCGAGGTTACCATGACGGCTTGCTGTTGGACTCGCTGGCGCACGCTCAACAAAAGCTCCAGGTATGCACGTGCTAGCGGCTATTGTTTCAGCGTGTGCAAATGCTCGTTGGAGTCGGCAGATAATTTCTGTGGTGGTTGGTACGCCTTATTTCTCGCAACTTTTTTCTCTTGGCTCATCTTCCGAGTTTGAATGGTTTTGGACATCATTGAACAACGAACAGACGAGGGAGAACGAGGACCTATGCATATTTCCAAGGATTTCGCAAATCACATGTTTGCTAACATGGGAATCTTGAACATACAGTATGCCCTGCCCTTCCGGAGACCATACTGTAGCCTTCGTCGCAGGAGATGCTTCTCTTGCTTTGCTTTCGTCATCATGTTGTGTTCTGAGGGGGCGTTCGGGGATGATTGTGCGAAAATCTACTGTAGCTACTTCTCAGCCGAACCCTCATCACTGTTCCGATGAAGTGTGGAAGAGTTGATGCATTCCCGAGTCTTTTCGTTCGTCTCCTGAATGCTCGGCCGCCCACAGCCAATTTTTTTTCTAGGAATGTTCCGGAATCCAAGTTCGCCTCCTAACCGGCAGTACGGAATACTTCCCGCCTTTGAACCCCGTTACCGCCAACCCATGGTTTCCTAAGCCCCCCAGACATCAATGGCCGACTACCGACGTCGTGCATGCTAATCCTTACCCCCCCTCCTCCCTGCTGACTCCGCCTTGTCTCCAGCGATGTATTCTAGAAACGTTCGGGACAAAGGAAGAGGACGACGACTGCGGTGACTCGCGACCAGGGGGGCATGTGGAATGAAGGGGAGGGTACACCGGAGCGTGTACAGTGAACCTTGCATCGCACCTGCGCATCATCCTCTGAAAGGATTGGGTGTGCGCTTGCTATTTCCTTTGCTTGGGGGGGTTGTTTGTGCTTTGCGGCGCGGGCTATTTGTAGGCGTCGAAAGCGTGTGGGGGCGCGGAAGGAATCGAGAATGGAGGGGGAAGAGTGAAAGAAGAAACGGGGAGGTCTCTGGATCGTTGTTGATCTCTTGAGCGTGTTTCGCCACCCACTGTAGGCATGGGCATTGACCGTCCCCCAAAATATTTACAAAACCACGTTCGTTGCTCATTTGTGGGAAACCGTCGGCTCCTTCACAGGCACGTTGGTTCTTCTACCGCTTGATGTGCGCTCAGTCGAATGCGATTGTATGTGAAAGGCAGCGTTTGTAAAGCTTGACTGGCCGGTTCAAATTTGGCAACATTTGTGAAGAATCCCTTCGCCAAATGGGAGCCGTGTATCCATAAAATATTGCATAGTTCAAACGTGGCGGTCTCTCCAATCGTGGACCCCTAACCACACAACGACCTTTTGGAACGGAAAGACCACGGATGCGGCATTACTTCTAGTGCGACTAGTGCGACTCCTCCCGATACACACGCCGCACATTGACCATGCCTTGTTGCGCGTGCTGGGCACAGAACTCCGCCTTCTTGCTACCGTCTTTTCCATACGACGGACGCTTCGTGCACCCTGGATGGCCGCATTTCTTACGCGCCACATCGACCATACCCTCCTGCGCATGCTGCACACAAAACTCTGCCTTCTTGCTGCCGTCTTTGCCATACGACGGCCACTTCGTGCACCCCGGGTGACCGCACCTCTTGCTCACGACATCGACCATACCCGCTGGCGCGTGTTGAGAGCAAAACTCCTTCTTGCTGCCGGCTCTACCATATGTTGGCTGCTTCATGCACCCTGAATGGCCGCACTTCTTGTTACGAACGTGGACCATGCCCTGCCGCGCGTGCTCCGAGCAAAACTCAGGCTTCTTGCTACCTGTTCTATGTGAGCCATATGAAGGCTGCTTGATGCACCCTGGATGGCCGCATCTCTTCTTCGTGAGGTTTATCATCCCTGGCTTGGAGTGCTTGGAGCAAAACTCCGCTTTCTTGCAGCCATCTATTCCGTACGATGGGCGTACTGTACAGCCGTGCTCCTGGCAGCATCGGTTTCCCTTGCCGTGATATCTGGCGGTCGTATAAGCCTGCTGAACAGTATGATGCCAACCACGATCGAGTACAACCCATATTTCAGAGTAAAATACAGGTCGATGTCTCAGCAACCATACGAGCGACATTCGGCAGCAGCGAGAGGAATTCGACTTTACAGCACACACTTTCGGAAGTTACCCTGTGCTTGTCGCCAGGGAAGAGGCACTGTCCGGTGTTACCATGTGCCCCGAGCTCTTCGTCACTATGCTCTTCATTTGAAAAGTCTATGGAAAGACAGCAATGCCGTGCTGAAAAACATTGGTTGCCTCTCACGCGACAACGCATTGACAACGCCTTGAACTGCCGTTGGTCTTCTTCGTCAGCTACTTTGAGTGTGCTGTGCAGTCGGTGAATCAAGTGCGATCTCCTCCCACACTATTCCTTGCCCTTTGGTTTCTTACAGAAGGTTTTCCGCCCCGCATCATTTGTTGGAAATTCGGTATTTTGAATTATGGAAGACCTTCCCTCGCTTAGTTAGTGAACTTCACTCAGAACACACCCTGTTCCTCATTACACAAAAAGAGTCGAAGTGATTGTGTGCACATATGGCTTCTCGGCTACCAGCAGTGTAGCAGCGTTTTGAAAGTCTGCTTGTAGTCCCTTTTGGCGTTCTTCAAGCACAAACCTTTCGCGAGTAGTTGCAGGGACCGTCGGAACATAGCCAACACACATAGTGCAGACGCGCTACATTAGAGATGCAAGCATCGACGGTTTCCCCTCTGCATAGCATAGGGGTTTCTGAAGGCTGGATAGAACTTGTGCCGGTGCTCGATTCCGTCAGCGGTGCATTACTGATCGGGTGCCCGGCAGCAATCTTCCCGAACCCACAAGACCACCAACTGAACACCAATCATCCGCCGATCGAAACGCGCGCCAACAGTGAGTGACGCGGCAAAGTATCCTGAGCAAAGCATGCACTTCTCCGAATAGAAACGCAAGAGGATCGAAGCTCCCACCGAACTCACCGTTTCGTGTGTTGCCGCCGTCCCACCACCCATTGTTCCTGGTGCGGAGGCCTTCCGTTGGCTCTTGAATGGCACTCTTGTTGGGCTGGCAATCAAACACGATACATACCCAGGCGAGAGGAAACCGAAATACAGGAAGGAGGGGTTAGAACGTCAGGAGGGATCAGGCACAGATCCAATCGAGAACTGCCACCATGGGTCAGGGCATAGGGCATAAAGTCGCCCCTCAATTGTTTGTACTCGAACAAATTCAATAACACTGCCCGTGGACGCGTGATGGATTCAGTGTAGGTCATTTCTTCAGTTTGCGGATACTCTCCGACGCCTAGAGCTCCCGCCTGCGACGAGCAACGTCTGAAACATCCAGGAACTAATCGAAGCTTAAGAGGTAAGGTGACATGGTGCTTCGATCGAGATAATTATGTTGCACCGATGTTGAGAATGCAGACGCCCAGCTGTGGACAATGTGTCCGTCTGAATCGTCGATCGATTTTAACATTCGGCGGGATAGTTGATGACAAGGGGCTCTCACTGCTGCTGCTGTTGAGTGTGCGTGCATGCGTGCGCGTGTCCGTGTCTGCGTCGCTCCCTCAACCCCACCGCACGAAATCGCACCACACCAGTACGGAGAGAGGAAGTGACTACTGCTGTACACTGGCCGACAGCCTCTGAAAGAACGGCTACGTCACATTTCAATCGTTCGGGAGAGAAACGGGGGGTTTGGGACCGGGAGGCACATCCGAGTCAAACGCTCTTCTTTCTAATAGACACCAGAGAAAATACTCGTCTTGCGCGCGGGAGGACGCGCCCGCCTTCACCACAGGAGGCCACTACGTGCTCTTCCTCCTCTCCGCTCTTCTTCTTTGCTGGCGGTGTTGCCACCACCTCCTCTACGTTTATTCGTGCGCTCTTGCTCCCTCTTGCCTCAATCTGACGGGCGTGTTGCTGACCTCAAGCCAGCCGCAAACNAATAGACACCAGAGAAAATACTCGTCTTGCGCGCGGGAGGACGCGCCCGCCTTCACCACAGGAGGCCACTACGTGCTCTTCCTCCTCTCCGCTCTTCTTCTTTGCTGGCGGTGTTGCCACCACCTCCTCTACGTTTATTCGTGCGCTCTTGCTCCCTCTTGCCTCAATCTGACGGGCGTGTTGCTGACCTCAAGCCAGCCGCAAACAAACCCAACTGACCGTGCAGCCTGCCTGTTTTTGCGTTGATGGCGCGCCACATCCAAGGCCTTTCGCTGGGCGCTGGCCTTCTCTTTGGCCGCGCTGACATGTTCTCAGCAGGCTTCTGTGTGTGCGTGCGGTGGTTGGTGGGTGTCATGTGTTACTTCGAAGACGAAAGTTAGTTGCAAACTCGAAAAATAAATCGTGAATTTTTTTCCACAACAAACCGAGCCTCCCTCGGCTCTTAGATCTGTTAAAAATTTCACAGAACTTTTCGGTAGGATACTGGGAGAATACAGAACGTTCTGTGAAATCTCTGTAGGGTACTGGGGTCTGACAGATCTTCTTTGTAGTGATCTGTCGGTACTTACAGAGGGAAAATACTGCCGGTACCGATCTGTGAGTACCCTACAGAACGGACCTGTGAAATTTTAATTTCCTTGTTGTGGGTTCTGGCGAGGCTGTCAGGAGCGATCCTCAGAACGACGGCTTAACTCAAAATAAATATGTTTCCATATCCGGAATTTTTTTGAGTCCGAAACTGTCAATTGACTATTCAAATATATTTGTGCCTTTCGCCCTAAATTATCCAATCACGGCTTTTTGGCAGATGAAACACACGCACACATGCTGCGACCATTGTCGGTACAGCGTAAAGCGCATTCTTCCGCCGCGCTCATTGGCGAGATTGCGGTGGGACACGTCCGTGAAGACGCAAACCGTCCAGATGCTAAACTCTTCTTGCTAAATATCCAACTTGCGTCCGTATTCTGATTTCTGTATCATCATCCAGCCCCTGTTTTACATATCACACTGGAGAGGTACGATCTCACGCACGACCCACAAACCACCAGCACACGACTCTACAACTTGGGTTAGGGATGGGATGCCACCTCCTGTTGCGGGTTGGTTGCATGCCGTAGTGCCAATCGAACATCATCCGCAACCAACCGCAGTCAACCAATTTCACCATTGTTTATTTACTTTTTTAATAGAACACAACGAATCCATCTCTATTTAAGAAATGAGTCCAAGATAGATTAGCAATGAATAGTCTAGGTCTTTGGTCCATCGGCCGCGGTCGAAAGAAGAGCCGATTGATTTCTGAAAATTTCGGCCGGAAAAAAACGGCCAAGAAAAAAACGGCCGATTTTTCAAACAAAGCAGCCGATTTTGGCCAGGGCTCAGCCGAATTGGGATTATTGCCTGTAGCAGATTCTCAATCGGCTACGTACGGCCGATTTCTAATCGGCTACTAGGGCAGAGTTCCGATTTCAACCGGCCGAATATCGAAAATCGGTTGCCCCCCTCCCCCCTTCCCTTCATAAATATGTCGAGGAAAACTGTTACAACGTAGTCAGGCACAGTTTACCATAGGTGCGACTGCGGCAACTAGCAGCCTTCCGTAGACATAATAATACAGAAAGAAGAGATGGTACTCAGCAGAGAACATGAGCACAGAGTTGTAGCGGAGATAATTTGGCAGGCGAGATGTAGTTGTCTTATTGTTCCGAACCCCGAAATTCCGGTACTCGGGGCCATTACTCCGGAGACCCTCGGAACCTGCTGTGTTTTTGCTGCTTGTTTTTTGTTTTTGTTTTGTTGTTGAGATGAGACACAAGCGCGCCTTCGCCCCTTGTGCTCACTCTCATCTAGCACCCATCAAAGCCTGACCAGGGAGTCAGTTGATAAGAAAATCTATCTACATTTCTCTTTCCAGAGCTCGCTCGGGCCTACCGATCTCACAGCAGTGTAGACCAACCTCTGTGATAGAGCGGTGACAGCAGTGTAACCTCTGTGGTAGACTACAAAGTCTACGAGCTACAGCGGCACCGCCACCTCCGCTGCTGCAAGACGCCACATTCTGTGAGGTTATGAGCCTCGCTTTACGCGAACACTAGGAGCTGCGGACGTCACGACGGAGGTCAAGACATCCTACTGCTGTGGACTACAACATCCGTCTGTGGACTTCGAGCGGAAATCTGGATTCGGAGATTTGGGAGATCATCAACGGTCAGCGGAAACGAAAGTGAGCGCACTACTTGGTCATCTACACCAAGGGGCTGAGAGTTCATTATACACACACGTTATCACTGCTGCAAAAGCAGTAGTGGGTACCTCTGTGGTGAACAAACAGCAAAGTGTTGCGCGGGAAGCCTCGATTTAGACATCGAGCAAATACTTCTGCGGCGGAGACAGGAGGGAAGACTGTATCAACAGCGAAAGTCGACCGGGAACCGTAGTCCTATTCACCGATTCCCTAAGTGAGGAAAGGGTATCAGGAGCGGGGTCGCAAATTGGCCTACAACCGGAGTTCTATTCACCAATTCTCTATCTAGGTGAGAAAAGGGTTTCAGAAGCGGGGTCACGAATCGGCAACCGGAGTCCTCTATATCAATAGAAGGAGCGGGGCTGGAAAAATCTCAGCGACAGATAGCTGAGTAATACACCAACAAAAATATTCAAGACGAGAATGTCAGGATAAAACCCGGAAATGGAAGCAACATCGGGAACTGGAGGCGGAGGCAGCATCTGGAGTGATGGATCCACAAACCTGGCCAACGTCATCAGAGGACTCCCCAACTTCGATGAAACGAAACCGAAGGACTTCAACGACTGGATGAAGAAACTGAGTGCAGTCGTCGGCGTTACTCGGAGGGACATCATGCCACTTCTCAAGGGAATGCGCAGGCCTGATCCCTCGGACACCACCTTCGCCGCATACGAGAGAGCAAACGAAGACCTCTACGCAATCCTATTCTGCCTCGTCGAACTGCCGGCTGCACTAACCGTACACAAGCACGAAGACGAGACCGGCCTTAGCGGAGACGGGCAGGCAGCATTCGCGGAACTGAAGGCCAACTACAATCGAGTGACAGATGAAGTGATCAGGGCTAAACTGGACGACCTGGAAAGGACGGTCATGGAGCCAGGAGAGAACCCGGACGATTTTTTCAACAAGAAACACCGCCTCCGCTCTCAACTAGAGAAAATGGGGGAAACCATCTCCGATCGCCGCTTCAAGGACATCTGTGTGCAAGGTTTCTCCGAGGACTGCAAGGACATCAAGATGATTGTTTTCCGCGACCCATCATTCGACGTGCAACAGATGCAAGCCACCATGCGCAACATCTTCCTTGACGAGCAAATGCGCATGAGAACCAAGGGCCAAATCGCTGGCCGCGGATTCGCCATGGCTGCCAAGACCTCTGGCCCCATCTGCTTCGAGTGCAACGAACCGGGACATGTCAGGAGGAACTGTCCCAATCGCCAGCGGGAGGGCCATAGGGCAAAGAAGACGAAGCCTGCGGGAGCAACCAAGTGGTGCTCCGTCCATAACACCACTANATCGACTTCTCTTACGACGAAGATGCATTCAAGGGTGGATTCATGTACCATGCTACATGCAGCAAGGGAAGCGGACGCACTTTCACGACAACTGCAACTGGGACTTCCGCGCTGGTGGATTCTGGAGCTTCTGAGACCATGTGCGACAACCGCCTCATCCCGAATGGACGTCTCGAAGAAGAACGCCCGACGCCCAAGATCATCGACGTTGCAGGAGAAAGCCAACTACGAGGCACTACCACTGGGATCCTACACTGCACCATC